ATGATTTCGTTCAGAAAAATTGCCCTCTTTATATACACAAGATATGACCTATTTGACCTTGAAGTTAATTATAGATTTCGTGGAATTGCGGTAAGATCAAAAGCATTCTTATGAAAAGTACCGAAAATGTTTGTAAAAATTCCTTAGATAAAACTTAGTCAAAACAAAATAAATGAACTGTATAATAAAACAGATCGAAAGCAATAAATCAAAGATATCAAATAACATGTAAAACAATAGCTTAAATAAAGACTATAATTCCAGGAAATAAATAGGTATCAAATTACTCGTGGGAAAAATTCTTTAGATAAATCACAAACCGGAAGCAATAAATCAAAGATATTATAAACAACAAGTAGATGGTAAAAATTCCTTAGATAAGAATATATCAAATTACACATGTCAAAATTCTAGGAAGTATGACGTCATTTCCGGCTCAGCATCGTGCCCCCCGTGATGTCATATCCACCTCAGAATCATGGTCTGACCCCCCCCCCGTGATATCATATCCGCCTCAGAATCGTATCCTCCCCGTGATGTCATATCCGCATCAGAATCGTGGCCTCCCCGTGATATCATATCCGCCTCAGAATCGCACCCTCACCCATGATGTCATATCCGCCTCAGAATCATGGTCTGAATGTTACCCCCCCCCCTTGTGATGTCATATCCGCCTTAGCATCACAATACTTACCTCTTATCACATGCTGATCAAAGTGCATCAAAAATCTCATACCAAATGATCATGTTCACATATATCCAAATAGCGTATATACTTAGATTCAAAATTTAAATTTTCGCGCCAAAACTCAGGTATGCGCATGCGCAGTTCAATTTTAGTGGGTTATAACTCTCCCTGTATATCTACTTTTATTCATTATAAACAATTATTTTAATTCATATTTTTATGAATTATTCCCAGTTATTCCAATGTAATTGTAATTTTTTCATAAACTCAAAATGATTCCGATTTTACTCATTTTGAGTCTTTTCCCCAGAAACTCAGAATAAATCGAAGGGGTATCATTTTTGTTGCACTTCAAAATGAGTATCATATGTGTGTAGCTTGCAGAAATTTTGCCTTGCAATCTTACTATTTGTATAAAAAATGTTACAATAATTTACACGTCTTCTGCAATTTTTCTAAAATATTTTCCAAATTAAATAAAAAATAATTTTTATTAATTATTTAAATTTTTTTTTGAAAAATTGCAGGAAGCTTGCATCATTTTGTTAAAAATTTGCAAAATTGACAGAAATTATTGCTGCAAGCCTACTACGTAATGTTGTCGGGGTGTCTACTAACCGGGAAATAGTCGGGAATTTTATTTGACCGGGAATAAGTCAGGAATTTTATACCAAACTGCGAATTTTTTCACCAAAAAAAAAAGTTTTATTATTACTTCCTCATAGAGGAAGTATTGTGATACTAAAATTTTTCGAGTTTGATTTTTTGACATATCTTTATGTTATTTGACCTCAGGAGTTCAAAAATGACATTTTTAAAAAATGTCATTCCGTATGTATATGTGTGTGTGTGTGTGTGTGTGTGTGTGTGTGTAAACATCACATTTTTATAAATATCTCAAAATCATGAAGAGCTTTTGGGTTGAATTTTTTTTAAATTGTAGATCTTACCTGCGGACATAAAATGAGAGTACTTTGTGATAGATTAATAAAGTTTAACTAAATTTTTTTTGGATTTTTAATTTTGCAAAAAAACGTTTTTTGCCCATAACTTTAAAAAAATGTTAGGACACCTATAAATGTTTTTCCATAATTTTGTAGAGTTTTTTTAGACGCTGATTCCAAAATAGTAGGGGAGAGTAGGGCAAACAGGCGCTATCGTAACCAGACACACGGCCAGATTGGCAATAATTAATATTATTCGAAAATTGTAAAATGTGATGCTTGTCACCGCTCGCGTCATGCGGTAAATGAATTTGTAAATTCGGTCTTCTGCCGAATATAATAATTACTAATAGTAAAATTAAAATTTAAAGTAAAATTTATTTAATAAAAATAATTTTGTGTATAATCTAAATTCAGTGACAGTGTAATTATTGTGTTGATCTCCTTACTCCTCCCCTCTCCGCGGTTTATTAGGAATTTTCCTAATGATTTCTGAACTAGTCAGGCAAAATAATTAAAATTAACTAAATTAATCTTTTGGCTATTTTCAAGTAAAATATCCTGGCGCTAATAAAATAATTTATCTAAATTTATTCATATAATTAAATTCAAAGTGTAGGTAACGTTCTATTCTAACCTCTTGTCAATATTTGGGTCATTTGGGATTTTGATTTAAATCATTGAAATGTACATTTTTATAAATAAGAATTATATTCTTGTTGATTTCAGGCAAAACGGGGGTGTTTTGGAAAGAATTAGCCGTGTGATACTAAAGGTTATTTTTAAAAAGGGCGTGGAAAAGGCACAAAAAAAATTTTTTAATTATAAAGCAATTGATTTAAAACTTGTTACTTTAGGGTTTTTGAATTCGCTGATTACGAATCTGAAGTCGGAGTTAGAACATTCAAAATATCGCATACCATATGGCGGACGAGTTTTGTATAAACTCATAGAATTCAGTTAAAACTCGTTACTTAGATTCCGACATCTTAAATTTTGAAATCCAACTTCCAATTCGTAATCAGCGATCCCAAAAACCCCCAAGTAACGAGTTTCAACTGAATTTCCCAATTTTTTCAAAATTCGTTCGACATATTGGATCCGCCATTTTGAGTTTTTGAAATCCGACTTCAGATTCGTAATCAGCTACCCCACAAATCCTAGAGTAAGGGGCTTTTCGAGTATTACCTAAGCATATTTTTGAGGTTTTTAACCCCCCCCCCTCATCGTAAGATTTTTTTTACATGCATTAGCACCATTTTTTCTAATGAAAGTAAGCAATAGCTAGACCTCCCTACCCCTACCTTAATTTTTTTGCTTATGTATTAGTGTCCTTAAAGTTCAGTTTAGATTCTTGCTTTGCATAAAAATAAAAATGTACACAAACATGTATAAAAAACTTTCACCATCTAAACTTTGTTAAAGAATTGTTATAGTTGGTTTTTTTCCAGGTTTTTAATATTCGAGACAATTTTGCACTTCATTGCGTAATTAATAAAATATTAATAAACTTTGAAAATTCCTTTAAAGTGTAATTTTTACACTCACTTTCTGTGCGTGAGGAAATAACTAATTTTGTTTCTTATCCCACATAATATTATTTAATGTATATTATAATTCTGTCTAATTTGTTTTTACAATATGCACTGTTAAAAATTGCGGGAATTTTTCTAAACTTTTGCATGGGAATTTTCCTAAAACGTGTTTAGAAAAAATTTTTTCCCAAAAAAATGGTAATTTTCCTGAGTGTTTAGAAATTCTTAGATACGAATTGAAATTTTTCTAAATTTTCTGTGTATAAAGCATTTTTTAAAATATTTCTCAAACATCTTAATACATGTCATAAATTTAACAGAAACATGAAGAGAAAAAATTAAAGAATAAATCGGTTAGTGAAGAGTTTTGAAAATATTGGATCTTTAGAAATTTAGAAGAAGTCATAAAACAGGGTACGGTCCACATGTTTCTTACAACTGATTCTTTGCAAGAGATTTTCATAGCCTCCCTTGGTCGAGTGCGTCTAGGCGCAGCTCCCAAGGTTTGATGGCTCCATACAATACACTATACACAGTCAACACTATATACGACTAAGGCCCGTTGCACACTGGCCGATTCGTGTCGGCCGACAAAATGTCGGTCGAGCGAGGTTTGCACACTGGACGATTTTTGTCGCCTGACCCTTTGTCTTTCGACTATATACCTGTGTAGTTTACAGGTTCATTTTCAGTACCTTGTCAACCTGCGAAAAGTTCGCTGCGTCCAAGGAAAAGAGAATATTTTAAAATAATGGTGAATTCAAAAAAAGTTCTTGCAATTTGGTTGTTGCATCGGCGTCGTATTAATCGTCAAAGGATTAAACGAGCTTACTAGGTTCATCCAATCAATCAGATAAGAGAACAGGAAAAACAGTTCAATACATTTTTTACAAAACTTCGAGAAAATGAAAACAAGTTTTTTAACTATTTTCGAATGTCAGTATCATCTTTCAATGAATTGCATAACAAAATAAAAGATGTTATTAAATCTGAAAGCACTCAGTTTAGAAACAGTATACCAACAGTTGAAATGCTTGCCATTACGTTGAGGTAAGTCTAATTTACACTTTATGCTATTTATTATTTTTTGGAGTCCCTGATTACAAACATAAATTCAGATTTCATAAATTGAGGATGGCGAATGCAATATGGTGGAAGCAAAATATAAAAAATTATGGGTCGAACAGAAAAATAGCAATCTCAAGTAATTTGTGGCACCCTGCAAATAAAATGGCGCTAATGCATACAACATTGTGTGTCATAGGGTGGGGAGTTATAAATAAATAAAATGTCGAAAAGTTTTGTGATTATGTATATGCAGTGGTGCAGAGTAATAGTTGCACATGCGCAGTAGAGTACAATGAGATTTACATATGCGCAGTACTTTAATTTAATAGTAAAACATGCGCAATAGTGCAATTTAATAGTTACACATGCGCAGTAGTACAATTTAGTAGCACGGTAAATCATTAGGTATTAAAATAACACCAAAAAAGATTAAAGTAATCCAATTTAGTGTTATTTTAATCCATTTTAGTGTTATTTTAACACCTAACAATTTACCGTGAGTTAAACATTTAATTTTAAGGTTCGGCAGCAGATATATATAATAGAATACTACTGCACACACATAAATAGTATACCACACTCATTACTAATCGTTCTTTGTGTCGTGTCTGAACACAACACGAATTAAAAATCGAACTTTGTGTCGTGTCTGGACACGACCACGACACAAATTTTTGCGTTTTTTCGGGTCCGTGACGGTACCTGGTTATAATATAATATTGACAACAATTTTTTATTTGTACGAATTATATTTTATTTGTGACTTAATATACAATATTATATAAATAATTGTTGCTCTCTAATTCAAATGTGTAAAATCATTTGCATTATCAGACGCAGTAGAGAAACAGGAAGAGGTGCTTGTGTGGGAATTTGGGGAAGCTGGTGGATAGTCGCGCATTTATTATTATCAAAGAAAGAAAAAGATGTAGAAGGATGGGGGGAAGTTTGTCTTTGAGGAGACGGGGAATTTGTCGAAGAAAATCGATTTGGAGCAATATATGTTTGTGATTGAAAAGGTGATGGAGTGTTATATGTTGGGGGTTGCATCAAGGAAAAAGGATTAGGAGCTTGGTAATTTTTTCTCTCATTTATAGTGGAGATCAATTGTAAAACTCCCATTTGAAACTGTAAAACTTCTTCCGAAGAAAATTTTTCCAAATGAGGAATCACGCCCTGGAAAAATGACATGTGTGGATTTGATTTTCTATCATCAGATTCCAACGCTTTTAGTAGTTTGGCTTCAAATTCGTCTTTTGTCACACGGCGTTTTTTGTTCACAAACTTAGATTTCTTTTGTGACTCCATAGATGAATCTTCTTCCATTCCTTGCGACATCTCCATATTTTGTGAAGAAAATTCTAAATTTCTAATTTCGGAATCCTCTTGAAAATCATCGGCTGAATTAAAACTATCTACCGTTGCCGTAGATTGATATACTTTTGAGAGGAACGACAAAGCATCATGAAAAACGTATTTCTGTACCCTCGATGCACCAGAACCACTTTTCTTGCTTCCATTAGTGTTCTTCATCGACCTTTTGAAGCAATCGCGAAGATTGGCCCATTTGTTCATAATACTTTTTACTGTAACATAACAATGCAAAACAAAACATTAAAACTAGTAATTTTTTAGGTATCTGGCAAGTGGTTGTACTTTTACTGATCTGCACTACAACTTTAAAATTGGCATTTCAACAGCAAGAAAAATAGTTCGAAAAGTGTGCTCAGCTTTATGGGTTGCCATGAATGAGGAATGTATTCCAAAACTTACAACGGAGAGATGGGAAACCATTAGTACAGATTTTGAAAAAACTGCAAATTTTCCTCATTGTCTGGGAGCTGTAGATGGAAAACATATTCGACTAATTCGTCCCTTAAAAAGTGGATCTATGTATTTCAACTACAAAGGATATTTTTCGGTGGTTTTAATGGCAGTTGCAGATTCGCAATACCGTTTTATCAATGTAAATATTGGAAGCTATGGAAAAGATTGTGATTCTTCTATTTTCAAACGAGGGAGTCTTTGGAAAGCGATTGAATCAAAATCACTTTAATTGCCAGAAGAGAAATGTCTACCGGGATCATTAGGTCCAAAAGTTCCTTACTACTTGGTTGGAGATGAAGCATTTGGGCTACATAAACATTTACTAAGGCCTTATGGATATACTAAGGCCTCAAATTTATCTTTGAAGAAGAGAATCTTTAACTATAGATTATGCAGAGCTCGACGTTTTATTGAATGTGCTTTTAGAATTTTAAGCAATAAATGGCGAATCATCCACCGTCCCTTGAACGTACATCCTAATTTTGCTATTATTATTATTAAAGCTTGTATTATTCTCCACAACTTTGTACGTGACAGGGACGGTTTTGTGCCAGAAGACACAACAACAATCGTTGGACTTGAAGATTTACCAGCGGATGATTCTGTTCGAGGAGGTCTCTCAGCAAATTCTGTCAGAAATTTAGTAAGTGATTATTTTTTAACTGGCGTTGGCTCCGTCCCTTGGCAAATGAATAAAGTATAATTTAAGTAGGATGACAGGGAACTATCTAGTTCTGGTCAGAAAGTTAGGGAGAAAAACTAGACTATAACCTGATATTTTAAATTATACATTTAATTGAAAAGTTTAGATAATTATTGTTAGGTAATTAATTTTTTAAACAGTGTTTTCCAAATTCATCTCAAAAATTTTCACAAATGTTTAAGAAACTAGATAGGGCCAATATAGCGTTACCTACATTTACAGAAATGTTCAGGTTACTAGTCAGGAACTAGATAGCTTCAGTTTAGCATTACTATGAATAATACTTGCACAGTGATGGCAAGCTGGCGCTATCTAGTTCTTATCCAGTTTTCCATACTAGGTATTATAGGTTACTCTAGGTAACGCTAGTTCAGGTTACTAGACAGGAACTAGATAGTTTCAGTTTAGCATTACTGAATCGAAATGTAAATTATTGAAAATAGTGAGAAAACAAATGTTCTTTTACTGGACATGTACAACCAGATATATGTATGTAAAATGTGAAATACTTACAATAAATGTTTTTATCAGAATCACTCATTATTTCGTAGTCGTTATTTAACTCTTCACAAACTTCCCGCCATGCATTTTTCTTTGCGTTCCGATCACTAAAAATTTCTAAAGTCTTGTCCCAAAGCGCAGGTTTTTGTTGAACTATGGAAATTAGAGCATCAGTATCTATGATGTCACTCATTTTTATTTATTGTTCAATTTTGTACTTGAATGTTTATATTAAAAATGAAGTACGAGCGGTCACGGTAACTGCACTCGAACTACTGATGGTGAAAGTTGAAAATCAAAAAGAACCATCCAAAATGCCATTAGGCTCTACGCTAATGACATTTTAACAGTTTCTTAACTGCTGTCGAACGTCATAGATTCTCATTGAAGAAAAGTTCTGAAAATGTTTTCCTTTGAGAACGTACGTATATTAGATGAAAAGTTTGATGATTCAAATACAACAGTAAAAAATATTCACATATAAATTGTTTAAATAAAGAATATATAAACAATCAATTTAATTAATTTAAACAGTTGTTTGCATAAACAATATTTGGAAAATTAATTAAATCACATTGTTTAAATAAAAAATATCTAAAAAATTAATGAAATTAATTAATAGAATTGTTTACATAAAAAATATTTTTTCTACATTAATTATTTATTAATACTTAATATAATAATTATAATACTTAATATTATTAATTAATTTTACATTAATTACATAATAACATTAATTAATTACATTAATTGAACAATTGTTTTAGTAAAAAATATTTAATAAATTAATTGAATCAAATTATGTAAATAAAAATAATTTTTTTAATTAATTAAATTGTTTAAATAATAGATATTAAAAAATAAATAATTAATTAATTTCATTATTTAAATAAATCATATTTAACAAATTAATTTATTTCATTTTCTTTGATTGTTGTTCTAAAAAATGGTTTAATTTTCATTATTCTAATACTTAATTCTGAAAAAGTACCAACGACGGACGACAAATTGTCGTCCAGTGTGCAAGCAACCATTGATTTCAATGCGCGACTGCATCGCCGACATTCACTGACTGTCGTCCATTCCAGTCGATTTGGACGACAACCAAACGACATTTTATCGTGTCGTTTTAAAATCGACCAGTGTGCAAGCGCCCATGCTCTTCTTCAGTTAACTGAAAAATTTTTGTCGGCCGACACAAATCGGCCAGTGTGCAACGGGCCTAAGAGTTCAAATCGTGGTGTCGCATTTCCGTAATAATGCTAATAAAGCTTTTTTTTAGTTAATTTCCTTTCATTATAACATATCAGAAATTAATATAAACAGTTTTGATTTTTTATGTAAATATTCAAATTTTTCCAAATTCTCAGAAATTTTCCTAAACTTTTGGGATTTTTTCTAAATTTATAGGAAATTTTCTATAATTTTTTAGAAAAATTCCCTTATTTATGTTAGGAAATTTTTCTAAATAATTAGTGGAATTTGCTTCCTAAATTTTTTTGGGAAAATTTCCAAAATTTTTCTTACAGTACGATAGAATACTGAATATAACATTAAAGAATATTATAAATAAATTAATTTATTTTAATTTAGCCTTAACTTAGATTTTTGTACCGGAGGTTCGGTACAAAGTTGACGGTAAAAGACAAAGTGGCACGGTGCATCGCCTTTACGAGAGAGTCTGGAGACGCGTTTTTCAAGTCGCTTCTCCAATGGGCACGTCAGACGTGGACGTCTAACGTGCCGTGCTGACGTCACCCATTTGAATAGCATTGTGACGTCAGCACGTCAACGTTCCACGTCTATGTCCGTCGTGCCCATTGGAGAAGCGACTTCAAGCAAAGAGACACCGACGCCTGCGTTGGCGTCGCTGACGCCACGCACTCTCGCCTGCCAACTGTCACTCTGCCGAGTAACGCTCTCAGCCGCTGCCATGGAATTTGGAAACAACGTCTTATCTCTCTTCCGCTGGCCGCGGAAGTTTCACCTATCACATCATTACTACCAACCTGTCCTTTGCAGGATAAACTAGTTCAAACACCGAAAACATTGACAATTAGTCCTTTTCAGGATGAATTGTCAATCTTTTTAACGAAAGAATAATTTTGGGTTCAATACATAGGTTGCAACCGGCTCTAGAGGACGGTTCCAGAACCTTGCTGAGGTTCGGTCGCCCGACACCTAGAGTTGAACGGGACTTCGGCACTCGAAAGTCACCGATCGGCACTGCAACCTGAAGCTACTTATATCGGCAAGATTAACTTGCCGCCGTCAGACACTGTTCTCTCGCTCCTTTGAGCCAGTCACTATCCTCCACACAGTGACCGGTATCAGAATGAATGTAACAATTTAATTTAAATGGGTTGGATATTTTTTCCCGAAAAATGTAATGAATGTAATATTATGTCATGAGTGCCCCAAACTTTTAACCCATGTTTTACCTTCGAACAATTCTAAAATGATAAATAAATAGGCAAAAAACAATTTTTCTCAACTGTACCAAAGCATTGCTTAGAACAGGGAAAGTAAATTAAAAAATTTAGGGAGTTAACGGACTCGGTAGTTGGGAGTGAAATTTTTTGAGTTAAAAATCAACTCCAAAACAGAGTTAATTTTTAACTTCCTTCATTCAACACCAGAGCGAGTTATTTTTTCCTTGGGGAGTTAGTATTTGGGTGTAAAGTTTTAACTCTCTTTATTTAACTCCCCAATGGGTGCGACTTTTATAGAATCCCCTAGGGAGTTAAAATTTAACTCCCTTTTTTTACAGTGTAGCAAATTATTATTTTCTTGTCGAAATGAAAATGTCATTTTTTCATTTTAACTCACTTTTCTCTGTATATTTGTTTAATTTAAAAAAAATGTTCTTTATCAAACGTGACCTTATACACTGAACTCTTGCTGTAATGGACTAGTTTCATGATGAGGTGGTAAGCGGGGATACGGGGGCGCTAAGCTCGGCAACCTAGCGCCACCAACAAAGTATTATTTTCTAAATTTTGAAGGTGCACAGTCCCTACATAAAATCTGTTTGTGTAAATATCTAAAAAGTCCGCGAACTTGAGTGGAATATATTTTCCAAAATTATGTTTCCATTCCTTAATTACTTGTTTTTAGCTAAAAATTTGTGCATTAAAAAAAACTAACAAAAAATAATTTAGAATCTATGTGGGTCAGAATTTCTCAAACGGATCACCTAAAACTAAAAAATTTTCTTTTTGAATCAAAATATTTTTTTTGACTCTTAATAAGGTTAAGAAAAATCCCTAAAAATATTAAGCCAAAAAAAATTTGTTGTAAAAGTTATTAACAATTAAATTTTTTAGTACTTCTAAATTAACAAATTTTTTTCTCGAGTTCCTGTTGACGGATTAAAAAATTAAAATATGGGTTTTTTCGTCTTGAATTTCACTATTTAAATGTATTGTTTGTTTTTAAATTTTTTATTTTTTATAATTTTTTATATTATTTGTTTATAAAATGTTAATAAACAAATATGTTCTTCATGTCCTAACAAAAAAATAAAAATTGTATTATATTCCTTAAACGTCTCCGAGAATAAAACTGTTTGGTAAAAAATAAGTCTCAATTAGAAAAAAAGTTATTAATTAAAAACTACAGCTGTGTAGAGCTTCACATGACGTTAAACTCGCTCCGCGCACATTGGCATTTTTTACAATTTACTGTTTAAGATTGTCTAGAGCCAACAAATTTTATCGGATTTTGATGGTCTTAGTCTTAAATTAAAAGGGATAAAATTTCTAAGAGATTCCTCTAAATAAATTTTCGAATTTTTAATTGTTTATATTTTTTGTTCCTCTATGTTAACAATTTACAATATAAATAAAAAAATATAAAAAATCATGTTTATTTTTTTATTGCAAATGATTGAAATCAATTTACATTAGTCTAGCATAACCACCTGACAAGTAATAATTTATAATACAATTTATTTAAATTGTATTATGCATTATTTTTTGTGTAGTGGTCATGCTAGACTAATTTAAATTAATTTCAATCATTTGCAATGAAAAAATGAAAAAATAAACATGATTTATTCTAAAAATATTGTAATATTGTAATTGTTAACTTTGAGTAACAAAAAAAATATAAACAATTAAAAATTTAAAAATTGGTTTAGAGGGATCTTATGAAAAATGCCAATGTGCGCGGGGCGAGTTTAACGTCATGTGAAGCTCTATACAGCTGCAGTTATTAATTAATAACTTCTTTTCTAATTGAGGCTTTTTTTCAAAACGGTTTTACACTCGACGTTTAAGAAATATAATACAATTTGAATTTTTTTCTTAGGACGTAAAGAACATATTTGTTTATTAACATTTTATAAACAAATAATATAAAAAATTATAAAAAATAAAAAATTTAAAAACAAACAATATATTCAAATAGTGAAATTCAAAACGAAAAAAACCCATATTTTAATTTTAAAATCCGTCAACTAGAACTCGAGAAAAAAATTTGTTAATTTATCAGTACTAAAAAATTCAATTGTTAATAACTTTTACAAAAAAATTTTTTTGGCTTTATATTTTCAGGGATTCTTAACCATATTAAGAGTCAAAAAAAATATTTAGGTTCAAAAAGAAAATTTTTAGTTTTAGGTGATCCGTTTGAGAAATTCGGACCCATGTTTTAAAACTTCATACGGCCCTTAATGTTATTGTGACCTTGCTTCAAGGGTACTCTTGCTATAATGGACCACAGCACATTCTAGTCCATTACAGCGAGAGTTCAGTGTAGTGAGATTTATGGTTTGTTTGAGTTTCATAATTGTAAGATTAACGAAATAATACTTGTCTCTAACAAATTAATCACCATTAAACGAAAAATTTGACTATTTCTGACGAAAAGCGTCTCTTATGTGAAATATATCACTTTAATATTATTTTATATTAAATCACTTTATTATTTTTGACACTATGAATTTCGATAATCTAATATATATAACTGTTTAAAAAAATTAGTTTCAATTACAGAATCGGAACTTGCTACTTCAACTTTTGTTGAGGCTGAAAATAGAAATTTAAATGAAATGACCCATATACATATGTGTGTGTGTGGTGTGTCGAGAGCGGAGTAAAAATTAAGCACGAGTATTGCCTTCGAGAATCGGCAAAGTACTGTCTTTTGCCAAAATGGCTACCTGTGTTGTACCTAAAAGTACAATGTTGCCGTGGTTGTTTGTGTATAATTGGAAAATGCATTTTCCGTGAAATCGGCAACAGTGGACGATAA